TTATAACAGACATCCACATTTCAGTGAAATGAAAAAGTACCTATGGGTAAAGTGTGTTATCTCTTAAAGTGTTGCTAGTCACAGCAATGTATGTGAAATACAAATGCTTTTTTTTTTTTTTTTTTTTTTTTTTTGGTACAGTAATACTTGCAGTGAGATTCCCTGGAGTAAAAAATAAATAAATAAATAAATAAATAATATATACATATATATATAGTCATGAACCAGAAAATAGTTTTCTTATTTGATAGATGTGTCAAGTTCTATCTGGTAACAAAGATGAAGCTGGATATGAATCACAAACTTTCCTGTTCCATGCATGTTCTAGCATAAATCCGATGTAGCCACAGCTGTCAGAGATGTCACCTCACGTGTCACTTCATTTAACCTATATGCAATGAGGGTCCCTGAATTCAGTTCCAGTACTGACTTGGAAACTGATGAGGGTAAGAGTCAGAGAAAGTGGGGAAAAACATATGCTCCAAGGAAGTTTGCAAGGTGCAGAACAAGTATCAGAGCTTTGTTTCATTGGCTGCCAGAGACCAGTTTAGTCTAGAAAATGAAAACATTTTCATTTGGAAGCTGTTTCTCAGCTTGTTAAAGAAAATGAAGAAGTTTCACTTTCCATTGTGCAAGAAAAAGCAGTTTGACTGTAAGTATATCATACAAACACACAAGTACTAGTCCCATAGCCCATGCATCAATATGATTATGTGTAATACCTGGATTTACTTTCTTCCTTTATATAATTCTCACATCAAATGGCTAGATCTATAAAATACCAGCAAGGAAGAAGCTTATTTATATTATTATATGTATTATATCATTGTGGAGAGCTGCCTTTTCTTGTTTACATTAAAATGAATTAAAGTCATATAAAAGTTAGAATCCAGATTCACAGCAATTACATTCTTCACATCAATTGTCTTCATCAACACCACATCAGGTTCAATTTCAGAAGAAACATAATTCCAATAATACCTGAAGCCCCTATTAGAAAATGTATATGGGAGTAGGATGTTGCATTTGCCAGCTTTGTTTGAACTTTAGCATAGGAGGTAACTCAAGAAATGTTAATGCAGCAGGAACATGATTTTGTTCTGAAAAGGCTTCACTTCATTCCCCTCTACTGACTTTATAGAGGGCCCCATACAGCACTGGTGGAAGGCATGTTTCAGCTTCTTGTGGCTCCTGGATACTAAACTGCTTGGTTTTTAGCAGATAGGAATCTTTGGAACTCAGCATCTTCCAGGGCTGGGAATGGCACAGTGCACTGATTTTAAACAACTGTGTTTCATGGAAAGGATGTGTAAGGTTTCTGAGACTACTTTCTCTGCTGAAGAAAAATGTCTGTGTAAGTGGGGGACATGAATTCAAGTACTACATGAGTACTTTTGTACTTTTTTTCCTAGCACATCTCCAGTAGTCCAGTCCTAGTCTTTTTAGGTGCAGAAGCTGCATCTTTGTTCAAAAGGATACTAACAGGGGAGGGTTTATTCCCTTCTATTTTTATAGAAATGTTTACTTCCTTTCTTCCTCTCTTTTTTTATTTTTCTTCTTGGAGGAAAGAATAAGAATGTTGTAAAAGCCTACTGAAAGCAATCTTACCCCAACAAATGTTTGAGAGACCTATCTAGATGCTTGTAAACCTATGTAATCTCCTGCAACAATTTTGTTTTCATGATAATTTTGTTCAGTTTCAAAGATTCAGTTTCTTAATGTTTCTAGGCTCTTTCCAGCTTCCATGTTTGAAATATAACATGAGTCTTCATGTCTTCACAACATTTCAGCTTCTTGTGGCTGGCAGGAGTGAGAGCATTGGAGGGGTTGGGCTCCTCACTGCCCGGGTTGCTGCATTTCCTCTGCAGAAAGAACTGTTGTTGCCTAGAAAAGTGGCTTTCTGACATACTTTTCTTTGGTTATATTCATGACCCTTCTTTTGCTAGGATGAGGAAGATAAATTGTATTTTTTACTAAAAAGAAATACGTGCAGAGATTTGTTTCTCTCTAAGATGTGCACATGGATTAGTTTGCTGATTTGAGATCTGATTATCTACTTTTAGAAAGGTATTTTGTTACTTAGAAAGAGCAGAATTAGAATTTAAAATGTATTAATTCTAAAATTATTATAAGATACCCATTTTCTTTTTAGGTGATGTTTTAATATATCTTTTGATAATGCATTTTTGAGTTGTCTAATGTTTTAACACTTCTGCTATAAAAGCCATCATAATCCAATTTGTATAATGAGTTAATTGCTGATTACTAGTAATTGTTAATAATAAAAAAAAAAATCTGATAATTACCCTTTAGTAAGAACTCTGTACAAAGAACAGAATTCCAGTTCTTGCTGAGTTCCATTATTCATTTCATTCTTGTTGTTCATCCTAGAAAGCATGGTCCTTTTTTTTTTTTTTTTTATAGAAGTCACCTCTCTTTTTGATGGGAAGCTATGCCAATGTGACCTATCATGAAGAGAGACATGATCCAGGGGAGTGTTTGCTTCCAGAGGGATTTCTGTGGTTTTCCCATTTTATAAATCTACACTCTTAGATGTTGAAACATGTATTGCCTTGAATTAGTGTGAAATTGATCTGGTCTTAGAATGGGTCAGGAAAAAAAAACAAAAAACAAAACAAAAAAAAACACAACAAATGAGTACAGAAATATATTATCAGTGAATTCAGCAGTGTTAATTAGTAAACAATAGAGCTGTAACTATTTTATTTTGATTATATTCACTAACAGAGTAATTATCATTTTAATTGATATGTATGAACAGGTGCTTACAATGAAAGCATTTTCAAACTGGGATGCGTTATGCTTGAAAAGTAGCCTGGGTGATTGTTCTCATTAGCTGAACAGATGGCTGGACGTTTGTTTGCCATTTTATGGAGAGAGAATTATAATCTGACAATATTTTACATAGTGTGAAGTATTTATAAATCAATAAAAGATGAAATTTATACTCAGTATTAGTGTAGAGTAAATGCAACTCACATGCTAGGGAATGGCATCTCCCTGATAAATATCAAGCTACTGTTCTAATTAACTCTTTTGGAGAGTTTACTTTCAAGTGCAATGATGCTAGGTCACTGACATGCTTGGGAATATGTGGAAGCAGACCTTACTTCATATGATGGATTTTAGTGCCCTTCTCTGGATGCCATGTGTCTGATTTTGAAAACTTCCCTTTTATGTCAAGATGAGTGTGTGAGCTTTTTGATTCAAAAGGAAACCAAGAGAGAAGTACTCTGTAAGCAAGAAATGAAGGCAATTGCCTTGAATTTTGGAGTGACGAAACAGGAATGTTTGTGTTGTTTTTTCATATTCCCAAGACACTGGGCTAATAAATGTTCTTTGGTGTACAGCTTTTCTGGTTTTGATTCTGGGTCCAAAAATCCTTTCCCAATGAGAGACTTCCTGAACCTTGTAAAGTCTCCTGAGAAGTCTGGCTTCCAACCAAAACCAATCAACACCTAAAACAATAAATTCAAGAAACCTGGATCAGAGTATTCTTAGCAGAGTTTGCTTGGGACATTTTATTTTGACAGTTACAAGGTATTTTAGGTAAAGCTGGCTTGATGGTGGCCAAGCACCTGTTAAGTCTTTTAGGTAATATCTCTTGCTAAGAAATTCTGCACCAGAATGAATCTTCTTGGCACAGTAATTCCTTCCAGAATGTTGACTGCAGTTTCTGAAAGAGAAACAGATGACCAGCTTGAGGGATCAGCAATTTCTCTTCACAGACTTAAGAGTGCTGGATGATTGCTTTGCTTTAATATGTTCCTGTTAATGAATGTCAAAGAAAAAGTTTTATGAAACTGTAGCATAAATAGAAAAATTTGAAAAAATAATTAATATTATGGAAAACATTCTAAAGTATATACACATATATACACTGGTAACTTTTTTTTTTTTTTTTTTGTTTTAATTCTAATGCCATAAAAACTTCCATGTTGAATGTTGAACTATTGCTTCAAACCTGAGAACAAATTTTGGGGGAGTTCAGAGGGCTTTTGCTTAGCACTGTCACTGAAAGCAAGCTGTAGCTTCCTGCCCACTTTCCTGCCCCCTTTTCATGCCTCCCTAACTGTGTGGCGGGCCTTCTTATAGGCTTTATTTCAGCCTTGGATCCAGATGACCCTGCAGCTACAAAAGGAGCCATGCTGGCACAAAGGCTGAGAGTTGGGAGTGTCATGGACAAAGTGCAGCATCTGGGACCAGAGGGAAGCAGGACTTTTCTTGGTAACAGCAATAGTCCTTTTTTTCTGCTTTTAGATGCTTAAATTCCTGCTGTACCTGGAGTCCCTTGAGTGCCAGACTTGGTGCCAAGGTCATTGGGGTCCCTGCTGGGAGCCCTCCCCTGTGCCCTGCATGTTGAGAGGACCTGCAGTGTGCTGGCCCCATTGTGCCAGGTGTTACTCTGTTAAATGGGCAGTTATGAGTCTCAGATGGTATTGATCTGAATAAATATGATTTTTAGCATGTCCTGACTTTCTTGTATGGGGCAATGTCCCAGGTGTACAGCTTCCAGAAATTGTTGTAGCTGCACTTGTACAGTCAAACTTCCAGGAAGTCCATGTTTTGGTTACAGATTTGAAGCTAAGATGCAGAATCTTTTACTCTAGACAGACTGAAATGCACACTGCATCTAGAATAAGTTGTCTCCTCCTTGGTCCTATGGGGCTGAGAGATAAGGCATTTCATGTTAAGTGCTGAAGACATTTTTTGGTGCTGAACAGCATTCCTCTTCGTTTGCTAGTGCCAGGGGCTTCAGAACAGTAAATAACATCAACAGTTTTTCTCATGTTTTAGCCATATTGTTCTGCAAACCAAAGACAAGGTAAAAGACAAAGCTAAAAAAGAGTTGTTTCAGTCAAAACATGATGAACAGCACACTTTCCTAAAACTCAGTTACAAATCATTCTGTCGACAAACTGCAATCTCTTGGCCTTCCAAATAGGATGGTCACCATGGTAACAAAAAGTAACAGATACTTCATTTTCCCCAAACCTTTATTCATGTCATACACGGAGTGGGAGACCATCTTTCTTTCACTGAGGGAACAGGAGAAATATTTTCATCAGTGCTTGTTATCTGCTGGAAGATCTTTGCCAACTTGTAGAGTACTGGAAATGGCTGCTAGGGCAGGTGCTCCTGCAGAGCGCCCGTGTGTGCAGGGACACTCACTCGAGCACAAGCCAAGACCCAACCCAGTAAAGTGTTGAAATGGTCCATAATGGCTGATGAATTGCCAGGGGAGCTGAGAGGAGGAGGGAGGGAGAAGTGAATGTTTGGTGCTACTTGTGTCTGAGTGCTAGAAGATAAAAGCAAACTTTCTCCAAAGCTAGTTATCTTTATTTCCCATGGCGAATTTATCATCTTTCAAGGGCCCAGAGCTCATAAACACACACCTGGCTCTTGAGTTGCAATTTGCGTATTGAAGCTTCTTATTGTAAGGCTGCTGTACTGCAATAGGCAAAGTTGTTTTTCCTATTATTGTAGATGCAGTCAGTTCTTTCTTAATTTAATTTTATAAGCATCTCCATGTATTTTGTCTGCAGCTCTGACAGGCCATCTGGAGCAGTTTTGTTTTCCTTCTCTTGCCTTTGTCAGTTCCACATTGAACAGTAGCCCTTCTCTTCATAGTTCAGCTGTCCTGGAGAATATAAGGAACCAGAATGACTCCATTCAAACTGAGAATGGATCTAGAGCTAAGTTCCACATCCAATACTGTACCCAAGGAAAGAGAATAGGTTTGGGAATTTCAGCCTGGTTTCACTTGACATACTTCAAAAGTGTCTCATGAGAGCAATGCACAAAGTTGATGTAAAATTGTTGAAAAATTCAGTTGCCTCTTCTTTCCTTCCACTTCTCCCTATTTACTCTTCTCTGTTACTGCTTTAGGGAGGGGCTTCTCTTCTCAAAACTATTTCCAAAGGGTGTTCTTTGCCTGGACAGAGATGGAAAAAAATCCCTAATAGAGTTAATTATTATATATATGAATAAATATGTGTATCATATATACATACATATATATATGTTAGAGAAACATTTTAATGTCAGGAGACTTTGACTAAGAGAACAAGTTTTCTAAAAGCACTGAAACTGATGCTTTTCACCTTCCCTCTGACTTCACCCGTCACTAGCCATTGACTTTGAAGGAGATTTGTGTAAAGGAGTATCAGATGGTTTTGAAAAACAGCATTGTTTCAAAGTTAGTTTCGGAGGAGTTTTTTCCTATGTCCTTGCTATGTTCAATGTTTTGACTGAACCCAATGGATTTACCATGAAAATAAATCTGCACTCCTCTTCTTGCATAACATATTTATCAATCCTCTCCTATTCTTCATAGAGAAATGTAATATGATTTATTTATTTTTTGTTCTTTTCTTGTTGTTGTTGTTGTTGTTGTTTTAATGGGATTTTATGATGAAACATTGATCTTGAGATTTCTTGTATGTAGTCCTTAATTACAATTTAGACCTCAGATTAAAATGTGAGTATGGTATTTCAGTATTTTCATTTCAGTATGGTATTTTAAATTTTCACCAAAGAGTTAAAAAAAAAAAAATAAATAAGGTGGTAGATCTGCAGTCACCTGTTGGCTTCTGTTTTAGAAGAGAAACTAAATGTTAACAAGGGGAATTTTTCATTGATCCAAATAAAAATGTTGGCATAGAAAATGTTGATTTAAAAAGGAAGTTCAGATAATTCCATTCCAATATCCAGCTGAAACACAAAACTCAAAAGTTCTGAACATATTAGGAAGGGGTTTGTCCCAACTCCTCTCTGTCATTCCTGTGCTTTGCTCTCCCTGGTGATAGATAGGTTGCTACTACCACTTTACTTCTGAAGGAAACATTGTGGGGTTCAGGAAGGTGTTCATTTGACATGCTGCTAAGGGCATTTGCAATGCTTTTCAAGCTATATGCCTGATTTCTACAGTTCTTTCGCATAATCAACAAGCAGACCTAGATGAAATAGATAATACTGTTAAACAGGCTTATTATTTGGCCATATAGGTCAGTAAAAATGAGAACACCTTTCATATCCTTAGTCTTTAAACTTTGCAGAGTGCTCTGGAACAATTTGTGCATGGATGAAAGCATCCACATCTTGTGAGGACATCTTTTGGGACTGTCTGGTAGATTAATTTCACTTTAGTTTCTGTTTCCAGATAGTATCAATCTAGAAAGATCCTCAATTATTTGAGGATCCTTCATTATTTGAGTAATCATGTAAAGTTCCTGATGAATGTTGTTTTGTTCTTTTTGTATTCTGAATTTTGTGCCTTCATGATTATTTTCATTTAAAGATACTTTCTGTTAATGAGATAATATCTCTAGCGGAATTACTGTTTTAATGTATTATATATCCTAACAATTTGCTCTCTTCCCCATGTCATTCTAATTAAAAGTAAACTATCTAGATTGTTTCTGGAAAACATACAATAAGATTTGAACAGGTTTAAAAAAGTACAGCAAAATATTTTCTTGGTTCTTTTATTACCAGTAGGTGACACTGATCTGGTAAAACTGTTCTGTGTGGTACAACATAGTGATGCACAAAACACTAAGCAATAGGGCAGATCTTAAAACTGCCTATGGTGTCACCATTAACGGCATGACATATATTGTTTTTTTCCCCTTTTATATTAAACATATGCATTAAGAAAACAAAAGATCAAATATAATCTCAGACTATAATATCTGATCACGTACGTGCACAGTTTTTCAACTATGAAGCACCTGAAGGTTAGATATAGTTGATGGAAATCTATCTTAGTTTATGTTAAAAAAAATATATATTTTCTGTAAAATTACTGGCCTAGTAGAGTGCTTAGGTCTGTGGATGTGAATGAATAGCGCGTATGATACCGTGCATTTGGATAAAGAGATTTCAGTTTAATATACCCTTTTTTGTGAGTGTGAAAAAGTAGTCAATGCATGATTATCTGACCAGAAGTATTTGAGGTATATATATATAACTAGGAAAACTTTGCCTTTTAAAACAGATGTGATTAAGCACTGGGCAATAGTAATGTGGGATCTTTGTTGGCTGACTGGTTTAACGAGATGACTTTAAACAAAGATCAAAGGATCACATGAGCTAAATACCAGCAACATGGACAAGTGTATAAAGCTGAAAGTCATTATCGTGCAGCATGGGGACCAAATGATTTCAGTAATTTAGAAAAGGTGATGATATCAGCAGTCTGGTGTGATGGTTTTTAATGAATGATTTTGTAATAATAGAGAATACAAGATTTGGCATACCATGAAATTTAAATAAGGAGTCATTATGGGAGTTAAAAAAAAAAAAGTGGCGGATATTCAAAAAAGTCTTGGAATTTTTCAGATTTGTTAACTGGTAAGCAATTTTTAATTGAGGTATAGTTGGTAGGGGCAGTATGAAAAGAGGGAAATCGCTGAGACAACCTCCAATCTTCTCTAGAAAAATCTGATGCTGAGGAAGATTGTTTAGGTGAGAACTGCTAGAGGGACAGAGGTCATGATAGTTAGAAAGGAAAAGAAAGAGGAAAAAAGGTTTTAAGAAGATAGACATACAACTTCAAAATCTCTTGGGGGACAGTAAGGAAAACAGTAAGGAAGGTAACCTGCTTTCAAATAGATGACATTAACAGCATAACTCAAAATTATTCTTGTGTGGAAGAAGGATAGTAGAGGAAGATTTTTAAAACACCAACTTGGCTAAATCATGAGCTCCCCACTGGTTTTAAGTGGAAAGGGAAATGAGTTAGTTTACTAAGAACTGCCATAAGAGGAGCACTGATTTATAGAGAAGTACTTAGAAAACCAGGGCTGAAAATTAGATGTGTCTAGCAAGAAACTGTAAGGATAACAAGAAATACTTCTTTAATTGCATTAGCAGAAAAGGAAGACCAAGAAAAACTGTGGTCCTCCTTATCAATAGATGTGAGACTTTTCAGCAGATGGTGTTAAGAAGCCAATATTCTTAATGCCTTTTGAAAGAGAAAAGTCTTCATCAAAACAATCTAGTATAAGCAAGAGGGTATCAAAGTTAATAGAAATAACAAAAGGGTGAGGTATCTCCCAGCTTGGGAAAGACTGTTGCACTTTGCACTTAACACTTCGGTTGTTAAAATGTTTTCATATTAGCTCAGTATGACTTTGTGATACAATATTCAAAAGCTGCTGGAATGAACTTCAGATCAGCAGTGGCTCTCGTTTGGTAGCCTTTGGAGGGTGGATAAAGCTGAAAGACAGAAATTTAGCCATATTTAAAAGAGGCTAAGAAGGAGAAGGAGAAAGAGTTTATTAATTTGGGCAATTCAGTTCCTAAATACATTTCTGAAACACACAAGCTGTTTGTAACCACCTGCAGTTTGAGGAGAAGATAAGTCGCTGCCAATCAGGTCAAGCAAATCTGATTTTCTTCTGTGCTAGGAAGAGAAGACCTTGTCTGCAGGGTTGAAAGAGTGGATGCTCTGTATCTTGGTTTTATTACAACTTTTGCAAGAGTCTTAAATTTCTCTTGCAAGCTACAGAAATAGTCTTGGTAGAGCTCCTAAGGGGTAATTGCAAAGATCAGAAAATTAAGATGAAGAATTAATCAATAAATGCAATGTGTACATATTGTTTAATTTGTCATGCCTTCAACATCTGTATTTTTCCTGAAGGAGGAAACCAACCCAACACAAATATATATATATATATATGAGATATATGTCAATGAGATATATATGACATATATGAGATATATGTCAATATATATATACATTTGTGATAACATTGCTTATTGCTTTTTTTTTTTTTTTTTTTTTTTTTTCCCATCCTGTTCTTTCATCTTTTCATCTTTGTGATTTTAGAAATTGAAAAGAACATAGAACATCCTTGGGGTCATAAGGTTATAATGTGTCATGAGCACACTGCTTCTGATTACAAGTTACTGGTCCACCATGAGTAAAAGAGTGGTTTTCTAAAGTAAATCTATTCAAGGCATGCCCAAGCAGATCTATGACGCTGTATGGATATTTAGAAATGTGAACTTCATCAGTAACTTCAAGGTTAACTTTTTGCATCTCTGAATTTTGACTTGTCATATTTATTGTCACTTGCATTAAAATCACTCTAAGCTACCATTTTTGTGTTACAGTTAATGTATATATTTGTTCAGTATTTCACCTTTTTTTTTTTTAGTTCTAAAAAATTGTGATTAATTGGATGTTTCTCATCCATATGCTTCTGAACAATCTTTCTGAGAAAATCAGTGATAAAAACTATCTTCTTTTTAAGAAAAGAATTTTTAAAATCAATTGTTTGTTTTTAACTTTTTTTTTTTTTTTTTTTTTTTTTATCGTTGCATCACGTAATGATGTCGGTACTAACCCATTATGTGAAATAATGGAAAATATATATGTTTTCAAATAACACTTTAAAATAAATTATTTTGGGAAAATTTGTAAACAATCTGCTAACCTTTAGAAATAAACAGACTTATTTCAAATCAGAATTAAAAGAAAAAAAAACCCTTTGCACAATGGAATGTTACATCCTTGGTAGAGTACCTTATTCAGTATTTGTATGTACATTAGATCATTAGATACATACATATATAACTTTCATCTTTCAATACTAAATTCTTTTTTTTTTTTTTTTTTTAAGGTTATTTTGCACTTGGATAACTCACTAACTTAACCTTCATGTCTTGTGATAGCAGTACAAAAATACTATGTCTTCAACACATCACAGGAAGTGTTTTTTTTTTTTTTTTTTTTTTTTTTTTTATGATTAGAAGGGTGCTACAGTCTTTTTCTCGCATTTTGTCATCCCTTCTCCCCCTCTGTCACTTTGTCAGGAGTCCTGTTTAGCAGTTCTTGTCTAGTTTCTAATTCTGGCTTACTGAAGCAAACACGTAACTTTGTTTTTTTTTTTTTTTTTTTTTTTTTTCTTCAGTGGTTTCGTATCTTAATGGGAATCATTCACCATTCATTATGGTACTCATCCCTAAAAAAAAAAAAAAAATCTGTAAGCAACTTTATCTTTTATATCACTTCTCAGTCTTTATCTTTTGATCTGATGATTGAAATAGTTGACAGCAAGAAAGCAACAAACAAACCTGTTTACAAAGAGGTCCCAGAAAGCCTTTTGTTATGTTTATGCCAATGCGCTTACCATATAACAAAGGATTTTTGGGGAAAAAAAAAGTCAACAGCCTTGAGTAATTTCTTACCTTCTGCACGGTAGAACAGGTTAAAAAACAAAACAAAACAAAAAAACTTTAAAAACAAAAACAAAACAACACTTTAACTTAGAGTCCTTAAAATAGAGGTCAGTTTTCTTTTAACAATCTAAAGAAAGTATTGATTTGACAGAATCAAGAGGACTACTGACTCCGAAGTAAAGGTCACTGTTTTACTTCAAGAAGTTATCAAGAGTAATGCAGCAAGAAATAGAGCCCTTTGCAAAATCTGATGATGAATGAGAACTTGTTGGAGTAAAATACTAGTGACTGATTGATTTATAATGTTTTTGTTTTCTTTCTGCTCTCCACCTTCCAATGAAAATATAGAGAAATAATCTTGAAGAATTTAGAAGTTACATTTTAGTGAAATGAGTGTAAATCTATGTTGTGTCTATGCTTTGTATGTGGATAACAAAGAACACTAGTGAATTTTTCAGACTGGATATAACAATTGTAATTGACAGGTAATGTTTGCTGGCTGATAGTACCAGCTATTAGGTGTGACATCCCATATATACATTCTATGGGCAACATTATTTTAAAAAACACAAAGCAAAATTCTGCAATGAACTCCAGTTCTCTATCAGCCATCTCTACATCAGCAGTTTAGGAGATTCAGAGAGAAAAAGCTTATAAAGGAGAAAAGTTTCCTTTTGTCTTCCTGTTTAATGATATTTTAATTGCATTATAAACCTAGCTCATAGTCAGGCTTCTGTTGCTTAGAAGATACAAGATGTCATGAGCATGAATGTTCTCGACAGGATGCTTGACCTGCAAGACCATGGAAAGATTTACATAGTCTGTACCTCTTTTCCTTTCTTCAGGATTGCTTATAATTACTCTGAGAAGGGGACTGAAGGACAGAATTGTTCAGAAAGTCTCTTCTCTGCTCCATTTCCTAAGGTCTCGTGGTGCCTTGTGGTGTAGAAGCATCACATGCTTTTTATGGCCAAAATACAGGTATTTCTCCTTTTGAGGCTAAAAAGGCAATTTTGTCACAATGTCGGCAACTTTACTGCCACATGCTAAGCACTGGGCCAAAACAAGAGAGACATCCAGGATGCTTGAATGAGGATATGGGATGGGGAAGACATTCCTTTCCCCTTTACAAGCAGCAAATACAACATAAGTGATTATAGCCTCAAATATACTTAAACCCAACTGAGGCTGCTAGTGACTAGTCCAGCCTCTAAAGCCCATCCTCTAGAGTCTAGCCTGTAACAGCTCCTCCCAGCTGATGCAGTGAGAATGCATTTCAGGTCATAGAAGTCCCGATCACAGTTCTTTCTTGCAAAAATGAGGAAACAGCTGTACAGAATAAAACCGGCTATATTTTTTACATTTTATTTTGAATGTGAATTTCTGTAAGATCCAGAAGCCAGAACTAAAGCATTGGCATCTGTGGTTTGGTGATACTAATTTAGATGTTTGGGCCAGGTTACTTTGTTAAACTTTTAAATCATGTTTGCGTATTTATTTTTCCATGAGAAAAAAATCCACAGCAGCATATGAAGAAGGTCTGTTTATAGCAGTGTTTGGTCTTAGTTACTTCTGTTTTAAGAAACAGAAAAATAAAGTACAAGTATTTTAAACATTACACTGACTGCTGGTCAATCCTTTTTAGTTATTTTTACTTTTTTCTATTACTTTTTATTACTAATTACTTATTAGCAATATTACTAATTAGTAATATAAATTTTATTACTTATTATTACTAATTACTTCTTAGTTGTCATTACTAAAAAAGTAATAATAATACGTGCAATAGAGTTATCCACTACATAAGTGCATAGAACTAGGTATTTAATTTGAGTTTAATAGTATATTTATCATTTGGGAAATAAATCAGTTGGGAACATATAGATATGTATTAGACATTGCATGAGAAGTAAATGTCTTATAGCTGTTTAATGTGTCTAATATTTATACGTTGTCAGCATACTGTGATTAACATACTGCTAAATCCTAACAGATAACCAAATAAGTTGGTTAAGCTGCACTCCCCTTTTCCTCCTTTATTACTGCAGTCCTACCCTGTAATTAGTTAGCACTCATTAATTATGCCTTAAATATTGCTAACCTTTTGTGCTTATGTAATATCTCTGCACTGTTCCCCCTCACGTGGCCTTGCCCTGTACTCCATATACATGCTTAGGCTGCAAAAAATGGTTTTGCAAATGCCTGTTAGGTGCTGTGTGCATGTACAAACTCATACCTGCTGACTGATCACTAAATGTATGCATCGTACATTCACAGTTTTATATTGAACTTTCCAGTAAACTGGAGCTCCTGAATTCACAGGTTGGGGCAGGACTGGTAATTGGAATATATCCCTTTTGAGAGTTAGTAGATGGAAGTACAGTAGAGAATAAAAAGAAGTAAGAAAATTGGAGATTAACTAATAAAAGAAGTAAGAAAATTGGAGATTAACTAATAAGACTGTATTTCTGAGATTAACAGGACTTCAGAATCTTTTTACTCTCCAAGAGGTAAGGGCCTGCTGACAGAAGCTAACTGGCTTTATTTTACTGGAGCAAAAGGTGACATATCCAGTCCCCATGGACTCAGGAGCTCAAGGGAGGCTGGAGCCTGAAGTGACTCTCAACAGTCTCTTTCAGATGGAGGCACAGCTCTATGAGCACTGTGACCCTGCTGAAGTGACAGGTAGAACAGAAGACGTGCTGATTATGTCTCCTCTGACGCTTCCAGGTCAGCACGGGGTCTCTACTCTGTAGTGCTTCCTGCCAATCCCCTGGAAGTGGCAGTGGCAGGTGACTGGGGCAGCACTGACAGTCGCAGCAGCCCTGAGGAGCAGGCCATATGCTTTGCTCGTGGGCAGCATCCTAGCTGCCTGCAGGGCACTGCACGACTTACAAGGCTGTGGAAGTGGCTGGGTTAGGTTGTTCTCACGTAAGTGAAAACACACGTCGTCAGATGCAGTAGTGAGAGCCTTCCCCCGACCTGCCTGGCTGCCTTGCTCTGAAGACATTTGTAGTCAGCCCCCAAGATGAGCAAGATGTGACTGGGAGGATGGGAGGACAGTGATGGCTGGGTCCTGAAGAAATTGCCTGCTCCAGATGGCAAACTGGGAGCTGAGCACAAGTGCAGAGATGAAGTTTCCAGGTATTGGGAAGAAGGAAATGGGAGAGTGAGGAAGCAGTTGGTGAGAGCTTCCTCCCAGGCACCCCAGGTGCCCCTGGCTGTTCTGTCACTGTGTCTCAGGGACAGATGCTGTTATGGGCCAGTGCATCCCCATTTGGGACTTGGTGGCCAGAAGTCTGCATGGATAAACAAAGAGCTTCTGACAAAACTCAAACACAAAAAGGAAGCTTATGAGATGTGGAAGCAGGATCAGGTCACCCATGAGGAATACAGAGATAGTGCCTCAGTGTGCGAGGTTGGGGTTAAAAAGAGCCAAATGGCATCTGGAACTCAATCTGGTGAGAGCTGGGACTTCCTAGCTTGGAGAAGAGGAGGTTTGAGGGGATATTTTCAATGTGTCTGAATTCCACACAGAGGGGAATAAAGAGAAAAGAAGCAGGTTCTTCTGCTGAAGAGAAAAGACAAAATTCATTCAATTTCTTTGCCAAGACAAGACAGCTTCTGGCCCACTGCTGTACCAGTAAAACTAAGGTAATTCTTTTATTTTTTTTTTGCCATGTACAAGTACATCTATCCTATTTTATGAGGCACTCAAAAATGGCTATTCTAGAGGGTGGAAGAAAAAGTAATTCTAATTTTCAATGCTACAGCATAAAAGATACAATAGGTATATGACTTCTTATTATCCATTTGGCAGGTTATTTTATTTTGTTTTGTTTTTAGTTAAGGTTATCTTTCTAATCTCTTTTGTCTAATTGAAGAAATAGTGATAACATACATTTTTAGAAACTGATAAAAACACAAACATGACTGTTCTGGGGTGAAACTATTTTGAAATGGTAGCTATATGTAAGGTATGGTATAGCTAAAGGAATATCAAGTGCCTTATTTTTCAGTTTAATTTAATATAACAACAGAGTTTTTATGTTCTTTTAAAACAGGGCACTAATAGGAAGAATAAACTGCACAAACAGGCTTCTATTAGATCAGCATAGGATTGGCTTTGCTCTTGTGTTTTTCATTTTTGAAATTGTTGGATGACAGTTTGTCTTATCCTAGGACATCTTTTGATTTATAGGAGTGAATGTTTTCTTTGTCTTTTACAATGAGAAATTTGTACATGCTGGTTTATCATCACAGGCAGAATTAATGTGGCTAAGGTGTGGAACTTACTTTTCATTTCTTCTATAGATATAAAGGTAGAGCTTCATCATTTCTTGTAGTATATTACAGGTATTATAGTAAAGCAATAACAGAAGATCTGCAAAAAGAAATGGCATACAGCGTAACAAATAAAGTTGACTCAAATCTGACTTACCTTCTGTCGTGGTTACCCGGCCAGCAGCTAAACACCATGCAGCCGTTCGCTCCCCCTCCCCCTCCCTCTCTGGGATGGGGCAGAGAGATGGAAAGTGAAGCCCCTGAGTTGAGATAAAGACAGTTTAATAAGACAGGAAAATAATAATAACAATAATAATAATAATAATAATAATAATACAATGGTGATAATAGTACTACTACTACTAATATGTACAAACAAGTGATGCACAATGCAATTGCTTACCACCCGCTGACCGATGCCCAGCCTAACCCCGAGCAGTCCGGCCCCCTCCCCTGGCTAGCCACCCCTATATATTGTTTAGCATGACGTCAGATGGTATGGAATACCCCTTTGGCTAGTTTGGGTCACCTGTCCTGGGTCTGTCCCCTCCCAGCTCTTGCTGCACCCCCAGCCTGCCCGTTGGCAGGACAGAGCAAAAGGCTGAGATGTCCTTGGCTTGGTATAAGCACTGCTCTGCAACAATTAAAACATCGGGGTGTTATCAGCATACTTCTCATCCCAAGCCAAAACACAGCATTCCACCAGCTACTAGGAAGAAAATTCTAACTGAAACCAGGACACCTTCTTGCCAGAATCTTATGTTATTCCGTAGTAGATAGGTGGGAAAAATATTGACAGAGGCAAAGGAATGACATCTGTTTTATAGATGCTGGAATAAATATGCCACATAAGATTAAGACAGTCTTTGCCCAAGGTCATGAAATAATTTAGTCAAACAAGTTGGGAGTAAATATGATATCTACTACTCATGTGTTAAAATGTGACAAAGCACTCTCCCCTTTTTTTATACTCATTATTAGGCCTTTCTCCTGTCACTTCCAATCCCTTCTCTATCCTTACATTTTTTTTACTTTTTTTTTTTTCCTGTAGGCTATTTCTCTTATGACAGTTTCATGTCCACTTTATTATACTTTGTTACTGTGGTTTCTGAACATGAAATATAAAAAAAAAAATAAAATACAGTTGGCCCAGGAAAAACCAAACCAAACCAACCAACCAACCAAAAAAAAAAAAAAAATACACAGAATAATAGTTTCCATCTTGGTGAAATTCTAGTTCAATAAAATCAATTAAGATCAATTTTGAAAAGGAATGAAATAATGAAAATTCTTAGAAAAATTTAGATTATCCTTCCCATTTAGGAATTAGATATTAAAAATTAACACTGCCATGAAACTTTCAGATTTTAATGACTCAGCAATCTCATATGAAAAAATACTGCAGAATCTGTAGTATGCGAACTACCATTCTCCTTGTCACTTCCATCAGGCTGCATTGCCATGCTAGATTATAACAATAGTGCCAAAGCATAGAAGAAAGAGATACGTCCTTCATAGCACTAAGGGATGTTGATTTTTTCTGCATGAATAAAGTAGTGCAAAATCTATATCAAAATTAGAAAGTAAATCTTTAAAGTTTCATTACAGAAAATGAGCAAAGACACTTGGTATATAACAGAAGTAGTACCAGGTCCCTATAAAGTGGGCTGCAGTTCCTATTCTGTCTTTTTTTTTTTTTTAATTTTCTTGAATAAATTACGGCTGTCTGAGGGAAAAAAAAAATAATTCTCTTGTGTTGCTCTCTGTCATAAAGTGTTCTGTGGTATCAATTTCTCCTTTGTTAAGGTTGGCTGCATTGATGATCCTGTTTTTTCTTTGTGTGATTTGTCCATATTTGTATTTTATTATTTTTGGTTGGGTATTTTTTGGAAATCTGTTCAAATCTTTGTATTTGTCCTTGTACTGGGATAGTTTTCTGGGACAAGATCATTGTTTGCATATGGCATGCGTTTTTTCTCAGGAGCATTTTTTGATGGTTTGGCCATGCGGAGACCATATTGACTTTTATGCTTCACAAACTTTGTATGCTGTTTTATTTTCAAGTTAGATTTGCAATTGAGAAAATTAAAAACTTAAAATATGCTCTCTGAGTTTACTTTGTGTTGGTTTTATTTTTTATTTTTATATATTTAGAAGTTCTGTAAGCATCTGTGTTCTTTTTCTGTAATTAAACTTTTTATAATTTTTACATGGATTTTGCTCTGATTTATTCATGTGGAAAAAATCTTCCAGACTTTGCCATTTTTACTTATTTAATGATTAATCTAAAAACTAAATCGAATGAAACAGTCTAATTGTCTCAGGACTGACTTGAGCTCACAAATTTGCATTTAAAACAATATACTGATTACATTTTCATCCCACACCTATACTGCTTTTTGTCATGTTTCAGGTACCTAAAACAACTTCCAAATGCGATGATCCTTATTACTACTTCAGCATTGAGAAGTTTCACTATTTTTTTTTAATTTATTTTAACTTGGTTGTACTTTCAGTAGCAGATGTTCCTAGAAAAATATGACAGTTGGGTTCTCAGTTTCTGTATGCTTTTCTGTAATTTGCTCTGTAGTACTTAATTCCAAGTGAATGTAACAAGGTGCTCTAGAGGAGCTAAGACTCTTCCAGGGCAAGCACTCAAGGACTAGCTGCAGAGGTTTATGTTCCTAAAGAGGTCAAAGCACTGCTGATACGCAAAGGAGAGTTCTGTTTACCACTGTTTTCCTTTGGAAATTTACAAGCTGAAAACAAATTAATAGGAAGGAGTGGATGTTGCTGAAATGTAGTGATTAGTGGTTAGTCCCTTAAGAAACTGGACTATGATGGCTATATGGGTCTAATTTTCCCCTTTGTGCACACACAAAACTCCCTCTCCCATTAATGAGAATTACACTCAAGTATCAAAGGAAGAACAAACCCTGTCCTTAAGCCATCAGAGCAAGTCTCCTCGTTTCTAAGCGTAAGTGGAGAGGATAAGAGAGACTAACTCTCTGCTTTATTGAGAAGAGTTTTACTGAAGCACAATTGGAAATATAAAAGTAAGTTTTATATCGTACCAAAATGCTAAAGGTTCTTACACAGGTTTAGCCTTTCCCACCCCATCAAACTGCTAGTCAAATGTAAGAGAACCACCTGTCTCCTACATCTTAGAGAAAGGAGGGCACTTGCTTTTGTAAAAGCTTTCTCTTTCCTATCCCCTCGGTCAGGGTGGTTACAGATTGCAGTGATTACAATCCAGCTCATCCAGTGTGGGCAGCAAAGCTGTGTGCCACCTTTATGCTGAAGTGCCAACACACTCATCAGCTCTGTTGTAACAGCTGTGTAGCAGTGAAAAAAATCTTCTAATTTGTGCTGTGAGCCTAAAGAATCAAAGGAGAAGTTGGGAGGTTTGACACAAACCCAAATATTTTAAGCATTTTCCAGCAAAATGCAGTATGCTTCCTATGCTCTCTAGGGAGAGTTCAAGTGATTTTACAGTGGCAAAGCACCTGCAAGCTCATAAGTGAAAGTGGGAATTTAGTAAGACCAGCAAGGTTACAGTGATGCTCAATCTGCTGGTTTCTCATGATGCTGAGTGGCTTCTAACAGCTTGATAACTACACAGCAATCAAAGGGGCTTACCTTCTGACAAAAGGCAAAGGGGCTTCTCTCTCTCTCTTTTTTTTTTTTTTTTTTTTTTTTTTTTGACCGTAGATAGAAGAAAAAGTAAATAACTTTTCTGTATTTGCTGATAGATCCAAATTATTAGCAGCCTAATGATGTTGTAGACCTCTTAGTTGCAGCTCCTGTGGGTAGCAATAGTGTATGGGAGGTGAGTTTACAGTGTAAACAGCAGAAGTGCTTGTTTGCTGCCTTACTGATTAAGAAGGAAAATTCAGTAGTACTGGTATGTTACAGCTGGGTAAGTTACATTCTGATGTGTTTCTTATGGAAAAGTCAGGAGACATGCTCTGAAAAGTAACTTAGTGTTTATAGGAGATGCAGGGGTTGGTTGGCAGCATACTTCATGGTCTCCTTTGAAATCTGTTTTCAGAGAGGATTACTGCTTCCATCTTCTGTTAAATTTCCTTGTAGTTGTGTATGGCTAGAAGCTCTGAGAAATGTACATGTATCTAGGACCTAAAACATCAGAAGTGAAAGTAGAATCTTGAATAAACGTGTTTACGACTACTAATTTGAGAAGCATTTGGACTGAAGCAAGACTTCTTCCTTTAATCCCGTTCTGCACTTGAAATCTTGCTTGGCAGTACTTGTCTCCTGAGAGAATAGCAGTATTTTTCTCCATAATACCTGAGCAGCTAAACAATACCTAAGAGAGTGCACCTCTTTCCCCCTTTCTCACTGCTTGTTTTTGACTTACCTTCTAGGGTTTACTTTAACAGTATCCATGAAGTTGTATTTGCAGGGAAATGGGAGTCCTGTAACCAAAATGACTGTGCAAAATGCACTCCTTCCAGTTTTCATTCTCTTTATGTTTCCTGCCATGTTGAGGAGCTTTCAGTTTGCACTGTGGCAGTGGAAAAATGTAACAAAGACATTTTGCCCCGTAATATAGTGCATATCTTTTCTGTTAACATGAAAGCTCTCCAGGGCATGACATGAATTTTTTTATGTTGGCTGATTGCGTTTTGATGTACTGTGCATTTACATAACTTAGAAAATACTGGTGTGGGGATGACAGTTGTGAAGGATGACAGAACTGCTAACTCTGCAGCTTGTGACTGCAGGAAGCATTACCAGAAGTTGATTCTGGTGTAACTGTATTGGATGGTATCTTCCACAACTGCAGAATCACTGAGTTTTTCCAAAAATGAGTAGTTTTCAGTGAATCAATAGATGCTCAGGCAACTGTAACAGGTGCTAGGTTAGAGTTTCTCTTTCTTATGCTCTCTGTTCTAGTTTTTAAGCACAGTGTTGGGTTTTTTGTTTGTTTGTTTTCATAATAATGCTGTGCTGGGCCAGTTCTGTTTGTGTGTGAAAGACCTTTGCAAGGGCATACCAGTGTGTTGTGGGGTAGTCTGATGATAATGCACCATTACTTGGACTTGTATTGTCCCAGTTCTTCAACTTTTCTAAACATTAGGTGGATTAACTTTTTCAAAACACATACTACAGCTACTTTATGGTGTAAAAAATCTCATAACACATAGGGAGAGCTGTTGCATTTACCACTTTTAGTAGATTTCTCTCATCTACA